TCTGCGGCGACGCAAAACTTAATTTCCCACTTGGCATTCGATGCCTAGTGCCCTGGAGCTGAGTCCCGGGGCACGCGGGCCTCTTGGACACGGCGGAGCGGACTCTGCGCGGACTCTGCGCCCCACGGCCCGGCGCCTCCAAGCTGGAGACAGTACGCAAAACTTAATTTCCCACTTGGCATTCGATGCCTAGTGCCCTGGAGCTGAGTCCCGGGGCGCGCGGGCCTCTTGGACACGGCGGAGCGGACTCTGCGCCCCACGGCCCGGCGCCTCCAAGCTGGAGACGGGCTCTGAGCGTTTTCCGTGCAGCTCCGCGCCCCCAGCCAGAGGGCAGAGAGGCTGAGCGGAGAAGGGGTGCTGAGGGTTCCCGCTCCGTGGACGAGGGCCCTACACTGTCCGGACTGGGCTCGAAGTTGTTGCGATCCTCCTGCCTCAGCTTCCCATAGTGTTGGGATGATCCTTCATTGCTTTTTGTTGTTTTTTGTGTGTGTGTGTGCGTGTGGGGGCTCACCGTTCAGTGCCTTGACAAAATCTAGCACCCTAGGGCGTGGTGAGGTTAGAGTGTAAATCCCGCCCTGGGCATGGGGATTTGGGGTTGGAGAACCCTGGAGGAGCTCAGCCGCGGCTGGACAAGTTACCTCCCTTCCCTGGGCCTCAACCCCAGGTCTTTACAGCCAAGCCTGGAAAATATAAGAGCCCCCCACCCCCGATCCTACCCTGGATGGGCGCAGTCTGAATACTAGTTCCTTTTCTTTTTTCTTTTTTTTGGAGGGGGGGGCACCAGGGATTGAACTCAGGTCCTTGTGCCTGCAAAGCAGGCGCCGTAACCACTGAGCTCGATCCCTGGCTGAATACTAGTTTCTTGAGTACCCATGAAAGAGGGCTTAGCCACCTTGCCCAAAATAGACAAGGCTAGGCTTCTGAAGAAGGGGAAACAGCTTAGACAGGACCCTTGCCTGTGACGAGAGTAGCCATTGCTGTCAACTGCCTTGGACTAGGAGGAGGGAGAAGGCAGTCCCCTGCGCCCCAACAAGTTGAATTCTTCCCCAGGTAGAAAGTGTGACAGCCCGTGACTTTCTTTTTTCTTTTGAAGATTGAACCTAGGACTTTGCCCTGAGCTGCATCCCCAGCCCTTCCCTTACATTTATTTTGAGACAAGGTCTTGCTAAATTGAGCGAGTTGGGCTCTAACTTTGCATGCTCCTGTCTCAGCCTCCCAGAATGCTGTGATTACAGGCGTGCACCACCACACCTAGCTACCTGGGACACCTTTGATTCCCGCTCTGAAGAATGCCGTTCTCCCTCAGTGCCCGGCTCCCAGGGCAGCAGGTATCTTGCATGGTGACCCCTTGGCACCTGGCACAGGAGGAAGGATGGGGTGGTAGGGTGGAGATGATACGTTAGACCGAGGAGATTGGAACGGAGCAGCAGAAGCTCTGGAGCAGGGGGTGAGGCCCTGCTGGTGCCCTGCTGGGCAGGCAGGAAACTGAAGCCCAGGGGAACTGGCACACAGGCCCGGCCGGCTGGGGTGGAGAATCCCCGGCAGCAGGTGTGTGGGGCGGCAGGGCTGACTCAGCCACTGACCTGGGTCCTGGCAGGTAAATCTGGTGACTAAACCTGCTGCGGTCGGTGGGACCTCACTGCCTCTGCGGGTGTTGGGGTGGGGGTGGGCGCGTCCGCTCCCTCCCATGTGCCTGTTTTCCCTGAGAGAAAAGCAACAAGGGCTGGGGAAGTAGCTGGGGATCAGGGATGATTTGCGATGAGGAGAGATGTGCTGAGTTCCCTCCCAGCACTGCACAAATCAGAAACGGCACATCACGTGCTTTGGAGATGGATGACAACTGATCTCTGAAAGTTCCTCCTGTGGAAGGGTGTCTTTGTTTGGTTTGGAGACAGGCTGGCCTTGAACTCGCAGTGATCCTCCTGTCTCTGCCTACAGGTTTGCAGTGTACACGACCACGCCTGGCTTTTTCTTCCTAATTGTTTTTACTTGAAAGGGTTGTGAGGGTATTCAGTGATTACAAATGTAAGGAGTCACACTTACTCAGTGTTGGAATATTGAGGGCTTTCTGGATGGTGCATTTTGCGTCCTGCCTACATATCAAACATTCATTTTCTGCTTCACTGAGTTTTTTCTCCTTCTCTCCTTCCTTTTTTTCCTTCTTTCTTTTCTGGGAATTGAACCCATGACTCAGCTACAACTCAGCTTTTTTATTTTACAACAGGATTTTGTGAAGTTACTAAATTTCCCAGGCTGGTGATCCTCCTGCATCAGCCTCCCAGAGTGCTGGGATTATAAGCATGCGCCGCTGTGCTCAGCTCCCAGTTTCTTTCAGAAGCATTTGGAGAGTT